ATATATATATATATATATATATATATATATATATATATATATATATATATATATAATAGTACTGAGATAATGATATCGATATAACAGGAAACAATATTTGCATTGCTCGAGAGAGAGAGAGAGATAGAGAGAGGGAGAGAAAATAGCGACGGGTGTCTCAAATCTGTCAACCCCGTTGTACGTGAGTTAATGTTCACATACCTTATTAGCCAATGACTTCTGACGAAATGTCTCTGTCGCTGCGCAGTGGCTTTTTACCAGGGAATTAAATACGTGGCACGCCGTACCTTCATGTATAAAAACTATAAAGCGCCTCTTTTGCGAGTGGTGCTTTAAATATTTAACAAAAGAATCTGTTTTTTCTCGACTTGCAATCTCAAAACATTGACAATACGAAGAATGAGATCATGGGGAGTGAACATGGCTGAATAATTTATCAAGATGAAAAATACAAACAGCTGACATCCAAACTCGCTAATGCTTTACCGCAACCGTAACTGCATGACTTGACCATATTTAATAATTTAATTATTCCGCAATTGATGTTATATCCTTCTGTACCAATTGGAAATATGAGTTACCTTCAAAAGATAGAGTTTGATGCAAATCGTGCTAATGGAAATATGAATTATTCTCAAAGCACCCAAGAATTAAATTACATTCGCCAAAACGAATGTTTACTCTGCTGTACGTGTGTCACCGTGGTTAATAAAGGGAACGTATTGGGAGAAACTAGTGTAGAATAGTTAGGTTGCCACGCCTGCACCTCCACACACAAACACACATACACACACACATGCACACACCATTTGAAATCAGTCCAAAAGTCGTTTTTCGCGACTTGCAATCTCAAAACATAGACAATATGAAGAATGAGATCATAGCGTGTGAACACAACTGAATAACACATCATGACGGGAAATGCAAACAGTTGAAATCCAAACCCACTAATGCGTTATTGCAACAGTGACTGGCTTGATCAAAATTAATAATATAATTGTTCTGCAATTGTTGTTATATCCTTCTGCGAAAATTGGGAACATGACAGGCCTTTAAAAGATAGCGTTTGATGCAAACCGTGCTAATTGTAATAGGAATTATTCTCAAAGCATCCGAAAGTTAAATAGCACTCTGAAAAGAAACTTTTACTCTGTTGTAAGTGCATGCCCCGCACAAAAATGCAGTAGTATTGAAGTAGCAAAGAAGCATTAACGCAGTAGTGGTGTGGAGCATATTTGCAGTAGAAATGCAGTATAGCCTACTGCAATTCTACTTCAAAATTTACATAGGGTTGTACAGAGGTGGAGCATTAATGCAGTAGATAAGCAGCATGATAGAAGCATGTTTCAAATATGCTAATTAGCTCCCAAATCGAAGCAGATTTGAAGCATGTTTGCAGTATGATTGCAGTAGTCTACTGCGCCGGAGTATCTACTTTTTCGTGCGGGTGGGCCACCGTGGTAAATAAAATGGTGAAATGGGAGAAACTAGTGCAGATTAGTTATATTGGTAAAGGGACCCCCCCCCACACACACACACACACACACATATTTCGAAACCAGTTCAAAAAATAAATGGCAGACTCTGATCATTTAGTCGGAAACACACACGCTGAGTCTAATGTATTTTGATCTATTTGATCTTGAAGCGTCTCTTGCTTGATATTCATCTTCTGCCATGTGCTTTGTCGACTACCTAAGCGCCACAATAAATAATCTGAAAATGTCAATGAACACGGGCCATCAGGACTGGGCCATTACAAGTTGAAGGTGTGTGAGCCAACCATCACCGTCCCAAACGGCTTCCCATGTTTTTTTTTACGTCTCCGACAAAAATGGCAATAAGAGGGGTTTTAATCCCCTGGACAAGAAATGTTTTCATTTACTTTTTACGTTATTCATTTGTTCCAACATTATACGAATATATCGTAATAACGCTTTGTTATTGTTTGGGGTTTGTAACGATTTGAGGTAAAATAAGAAGCTCAGCAGGAGAAAAATTAGGTAAGAATATAAAGATACGCGGGAGCGATAAAGAGAAAGAGAGGAGGGGAAAGGGGTGAGCACACCTTTTAAAGACAACATAAACAGACAACTTTGTGTTATAATATTTATTTATTCCCTCTCGCCCTGCCAGAAATTCATATATAGATGTGCTTACACAAGCAAAAGGGAAGGAAATCATTGGACTGTGCTTTTACACTACAACTCTACATCTACACAGCTATCCTGACCATTATATACACTATACAATCAGTTAAGTTAAAGTTGCAATGTAGCAGCAGCAGTACAGGTAGTTCCTTAATGTTGCCACTATGTACAGCAGATAGTTATAATTGTATATTTTACAAAACGAGTCAACACTGGATTCTATTCACAACTGAGAGCACTCCAGACAAGTTACATAACAATGACAGTGATGTTAGTTGCCTATCATAATTGCACACTGCTAATCGGATCCAAACTTTGGAATATTTTAACTATCTAGCAAAACTGTACAATATAAATGGTGATGATATGTTGAGTAACAAGATTACTAATATAAGCCCTTTATTATATTAATCAACGTAGAATCAATGTCGTTTGCCTGCTGGGATGTTCTTTGATAGCACTTAATCAGTCCCCAGCCATCCTGCTATTGTCAGACATAGGAATTCAATACCACGCTTAGATTTCTGGTAAATTGGATTTTAAAGTTGACAGATAATGTTTTTTTTTTCTTGTCCTGGGCCTTCATAACCAAACTCCTGTTTATCCATCAAACATACAATAATGGTGGATTAGGGGGGGCAGTAGGGGGGGGGGCTGACCCCCCTTTGGTTTTTTTTAAATCACGCTAATATTCTCCTCTTGAAAATAGACTTTTGACTAGCTGAATAACAGTTCAAAACTGTACCAAATGGTACCGTTTGCTGCCCCCCCCCCAAAAAAAAAAAATCCAAAGTCTGTCATTCTTTAAAAATTTAAAACCTCCCCACACTTCCCACACACGGTAACAGGAAATAGGATTTATATGCATTATGCCATTATAAACTGGAAAACTAGTGATCCTTCCCTATTTAAACCTTAAATACTTAGAAACTCAAATTAAATTACCTTATGTGGACAGTTCCTTCTGAGAAATACAGGCAGGCGTGGCGTTCCGACTGACTGATAGGACAAAAAGAACTAAATCAATAAATTTAAAATGGAATAAAACAACGAATCCAAATACAGGAACGGGTCAAGCAATGATCCGTTAGTAAGAAAAAATGATGAAGGCAGACAAATCCCACATAGATTACCTTAAACTGAGATGAACTTTTGTAAGTTTTTTTTAATGGGAATTTGAAAGATTCAGAGAATCCCATATTTTGCGTTTCACTACATATTTACACTTTTTCCCACTTCACTACCAATGAGTCACACCGATAGCTTTGTTGATCCACCCTCTATTTTTGACCGTCTTCCAACAGAAAAAAATAGACGCCCGTCAATATAAACTTGTTAAAATCTTCCGGAAGACCCAGAGGACGGCTTCCGTCCGCCCCTGCACTATGCCTTTCAATTGATATCACAGGAATTGATCATGATGCGTTTGGTGTGTTTAGTGTCGGCGGCCGTTGCGTCAACCATTGCGGGAAAAGTCGGCAAAGCTCCTATTGGGAATTTCCCCACCAAATCCAATTTCCTTCAAAAAGAACAAAAGCAATGTCCCCCTACCCACTTACCATTGCTCGGCCATAGGGATTTTATAGTCACAAAGTTACACATTTCACAAAAACTGCATTGAAAATAGAATACCGGTTTGAATTAGCACGTTTACAGACAAATCTGAAATAATTCAATATATATAGCACTGTTATAGTGACAATAAAGACGGAGCGTTCAAACATTTATTTACCAACTCTCTTATCATACAATTTCACAAGTTTTTAAACTCTATTTCTCCGCGCTAATCGGGCATTTACCTGTTTTGTACCCACTATCTTTGCGTGATAACAAGGAAATTTCCATTCTCGTGTTGTATCTCTCCATTTAACATTCCCTAATAAGGTATTTTCTTAGAGACTTGTTGTCAATTTTAAATATTTGAAATATTATAAGAGTGACTCTTGCTTGGATCATACCCAACCCTAGTCTGCATGTATTTAACTTGTGGCAGAGACATGCAAATCTATTGAGAAATTAACCGACCTAATTGAACTATAGGTGACTTTGACATGTTCCATCTTTTTCTACCACGAAAACGTTTTAGCATTTCATAACTCTTACAATAATCTAAATTACACTCAATAACTCCCTATCAATTTACTCATTTAATTCCTCTTTTATTATTACTTGCAACTAGTGAAAGTGTAAGACATTACTTTACAACATATACCCTTTCTTCAAAAGAATTCGTCCTCAAATTCCAAATCTTCACAACATACGCTCACTTTTTAAAGCAAACAAATACTAATTAAATGACATAAAATTCGTAAATCACCAAAACTTCGTATCTCGATGGAGTAAAAGACAACTTGCATAAATCTATGCCTCATGCATTAATGCTCAATGTGTTTACAATTAGGACAATGTGCCAATATACTTAGAGTTAGATCAGAACAAATATCAGTCCTTGGTATTTTTAGAATAAGACGTCGAAATCCAGTATACGTCACTTCGCAATAATCATTCATCAATATTTCATTATAATGCTTTACAGCAACATTTAAACGTCGCAGTAATAATACACTACTAACTACGACTAACCCCAATAACACTCCATGCATCATATATAGCATATTGAATAACACATTTACCAATACCTAATGGTATTTTAGGCAATGTCAGTGGCAAAGGATCGCTACTTAACCAGAAATGCTCTAATCCAAAGTATCTTTAGAGCCTGAGGCAGCAAAGCCCCCAAAAGGTAACAGAACCTTTCGCATTCTATACCCATAAAGGGTGGCCATATTGAGATCACATGGCTATCCTACGAAAGGTTAATACTAACAAAACAAGGGAAGATCACTGGTCATTAAACCTGTAGTAAAGACACTGAGAACCACATTTCAATAAAATACCAATTGAAAAACCTAAAAAATCCGGCTATTGTTCACCCTCAATCAAGATGGTGCAAAACTCTAGTCACATGTCTATAAATGTGGAGACCATACAAATTGCCATATAGTTTATATGTTGGTAATTTAAATGTTTCGCCTGATCTTCATGGTACCGGCCTCTAGCCTACAGCCAACGTCGCAGCTCACTCCAGTTATAGCAACGAACTTCATTCCAGGATGACCTATATTGCAAGACATATATCCGGTGAGGTGCCAGCGAGTGCAATCTTTAAACCACCACCCGCCACCTGAAAAAGAAAAGAGGTTAATTTCAGTTCACGCTTGTTTTTATTTATTTATTTATTTATTTTAATGTGTTTTCTGCTAAACTGGCTTTAAGTTCAACATCTGGGACGGACTGATGGTAAAATGTTGTGTTGTAAAGATATCTGGTGTTCTCCAAATAATAACTGGCACTTACAAAAGGTGAATAAATTAAACGTCTTTTTTAAATCCGTCTCAGTCTTATTTTCTGTACGTACCCAGTGTAGAACTGTTTTGTGGTGACTGTCTTTGTAATTTAAGTAATTTAAGTAATAAATATAGATGATTTACCTGGGAAAGGGGAAGGAGTGAGAGTTAAATCACCAATTATTTATCTATTCATTATTTTTGTTCATTTATTGAGGGTAAAGCATGGTCAGTTTTAATTTAGCCCCCCCCCCCCCCATCTCCTCATGCGGTAAGTTAAAATTAAACTGTAGAAAATTAAGAGTAAAAAAATAAGTAAGCTTATGTACTTAACTATCAAATCAACAATAAAAGGCCATACGAATTGATAACAATAACAAAAATATAAACCACAATGGACTTAACATAAGACAAGATATAATTCAAAAAGTAAAATCCTGGATCCACAAGTCGGTAACGTACCGTGAATTTCGGGGCAGCTATCTGAATACCTCCAAACTGGATTATCAATAGTTCCAAATCTCCATCCTAAAACCTCCTCCAACCAGTAATTCGTCGAAGTATTGTAAGAGTCAACAATAATATCAGTTATGGCGTAATTTGCAGCCTCGTTGTCAATACGGAACAATCTCCACTTCACGTAGTAATAGTTGCCATTGCAGGACTTCATGTCAATCTGCATGGAGTAATCCCCTTGATTGGTCAACGCGTAGAGAGCATCGTTTCCCATCCAAAACTGGCCATTTAGGTCACCGAATCCGTCCCTGTACGAGGCCCAGTTCCGGTTAAAATCAAACGAGTTGTCATATCTTCTCATAACAACGAGCCATCCGTTATCACAATATACGACTTTCTTGCCAAACCCTGCGATATCGACGGTATACAGCCCATTGTTCTCTGGTGATTTAGGAAAAACTCGTATGTAATGTGAACTTAACTTATCAATGTTCTGCAAATATGGCAATTATATATATATATATATATATGATAAATGGACATTTTTTGAAAAATATAATGTTAAAAACAAGTTTAATGATTTAAAGTGTAACGTAATAATTAGATGATGTACTATTGTAGATCATAAATATGTCTCCATCAGTACAGAAATAAATTGAAATGAACTGAAATATGAGTAGTAAAAAGAACAATACTCTCACACTCGATGAATATATTGGAATTGCAGTTTTGTCGAATCAACACTTATCAGTTTACTAGGCCCCATTTTCACAAAATTACTTAATACGTTTCCTGGGTAGGTGGACTAGGGTTTACACAAGAGTGCTGTCACACTGTTCCTGATGTGACCATGTAAACTTGGTTATTAAGTACTTAGCCAGGGAACCTGACTTATTTATTTTCTTTTTTTTTTTTTTTTTTTTTTTGGGGGGGGGGGGAACCGTGGTCCGGGGCTTCGTACACGTATCACATCAAACACATTGTCAGGAATACTTACCAAATGCATTGCAATCAGGAGCTCGAGGTACACATATCTGTAATGAAACGAAAAATTTATTACCATATAACAATAAATAAAAATGCAGTGCAATTGCCTACAAACTGTTTTTGATTGATTTTCCTCTGGGTTAGAGCTTCATCATCATCATCATCATCATTATTTAGAGCCTATAGTGTTCCACTGCTGGACAAAGGCCTCAGCATGCTTTTCCATTGTTTCCTATCCTGAGCCTCAGATTTCCAGTTTGGCCAAGGTGTCTTCTTCCAAGACTTCCAGTAGTCATGCATCTAATTCATCCCTCCATCGTTTGACCGGCCTTCCTCTTTTTCTTTGTCCATACCTTGGGGTACATTCTGTAAGCCTGATTGTCCACCTATTGTCCTTCATTCTTTTTATATGTCCTGCCCACCTCCATTTCATTTCTTTAACTGTGAGCAGTACGTCCTTAACTTTGGTCTGTTCACGTAACCATACATTCGTTTTTCGGTCTCTTGGACTGATGTTCAACATAATCTTTTCCATCTTTCTCTGAGCTACTTGTAGCTTGTGTTCCATGGAGGCATTCAGTGCCCAGGTCTCTGAACCATAGGTGATTGCCGGCAGCACACACGCATTGAACACTTTCTTTTACAGGCAGGTAGGAAGGTTGCTCTTGAAGATGTCATTGTGCTTCCCATATGCTGCCCATCCTGCTTTTATCCTACGTTTGATTTCTTTCTCCAGTGTTCGATCACTAAGGCCCAAGGTATATATACTCTTCTACTGCTTCTATCTCTTTGGTGTTTACCTTCACTGTGCAAGGGGTGGTTAGTGGTCCCAACATCACCTTTGTCTTGCTAGTGTTCATCTTTAGCCCACTTTTTGCGCTTTCATCTGCTATCGCCTGTAGCATTTCTTCGAGGTCTTTTGCATCATCTGCTACTATTATGATGTCGTCTGCAAACCTTAGGTGATTGAGCCTGGTACCGTCTATGTTTATGCCCTTGTCCTGCCAGTCTAGATCGCTGAATATACGTTCCAATGCTGCTGTGAACAGTTTAGGAGAGATTGTATCTCCTTGATGTACACCTTTCTTGATCCTGATCTTATTGGTGGTCTTGTGTAGTTTGACTGTTACAGAGCTATTGATGTATATGTCTCTGAGGACGTCTACGTATCCATCTTCGATCCCTAGATCTTGCAGGGATGCCAGTATATACTGGGTTTCTACTGAGTCGAAGTCTTTTTCATAATCAACGAATGTTAGAGCTTATAAACGAATAAATGTATAACAAGTAATGAATGCATAGATAAATACAATTTAATATCGCTTACCCCATAGAACTTGACATTCTCCATCTCTTGCAGCTGTATATTTGCGTTACTGTGTTGGAAACGGTAATTAAGCTCGCAGTTACCTGCAAAAAATAAAATGTCATATTGTTGAAGAATTGTGTGCGATTTTTGGCATACATAAACATTTGTTATAAAATATAAATAAACAAATAAATTAATAAATGATTTAATAATTTGGCCCTGTCAAGTTAGAGGGAAGAAATCACATCCAGTCTGTTTGTTAAATAAACATGCTGGTAGTGAATTACCTGACATTTACTTTTATTTGACTTAATACACTTAATATATTCCACATATCTTTTTTTTAAATATTGTAATATAACTTAGTGTGTGTGTGTGTGTGTGTGTGTGTGCGTGTGCTTGGTAGAATGGAAAATATTTTGGATCCTAGGTACATACGTGCAGTTGTTTGAAATTTATTGATATATACAAAGCAGACAATTTACTCTTCTTATTGGAAAAAATGTGGGTCTTCTTTTGTTTTGGGATACCAGTTGTTAGTAGGTACTTGGGTTAACAGGATGAGGAGTAGGTAGCCATGAGTAGTATGGAAAATTACCATCATACCTAACTTTCCGGCGTAGAAATTGCAAGAAAGGCATCCCAGAGTTGTTGTACAAAGCATCACGCACTCCAATGAACTCCGTGCTGTGACCGTTTTCATTACGGAATGTGGGAGGTAAGAGTTCGCCGTGGACGTGAAGACTTGATTAGTAATCTGGGCATGTATCCATATTGTCCTCAGGCCTAGAAAGTAGGGAAATGAAGCCAAGGTTTAAGTTGTTCCTAAGAATTTTATTCACAGGCTTTGCCGTTTAGCTTCAAAGACGTAGATTGCATTGAAATGCTCTATAAATGTAAAAATAAAGCAATTAAAATGGAATATAAATTACTAGAGCAAATGAATCTCGCAGACCGACCCTGCAGAAATAGTCGCCATTACCAACCAAGTTAAGCAACTTATCTATTTTGTATGACCTTTCCGTAAATATATCTATTTATCTTTTTTTAACGTACGAAATAAACATGTTTCTGAAAATTCTCACCACCTGTTTTTGATTGTTTGTTCGTTATTATTTTTGACAGAAGATAGTATGTAGCAGCCCTGTAGATCGCATTCAGCTCTAACATAATCACACATATCCGCATTCTTCCTTGCAGTGGCAAAAATGGTCGAAGGTCCTTCAACAAAGTTTGAAACAACTCGTAGGGCCCCTGGTAAAAAGTGGAATCGGTGATGGCTGTCATCAATCTCGATCAGCTAGCCTAATTAGCTACGCAATTGACTGTAAAATTGTTGCCTTTTACATACTGGAAAAATTGGCTTTTCTTTCATACAATTCCCGGGCGCGTATTAGTTTAACTCATCATCTGAGCTCATATATCAAATGACTTCAAATCGGTTTTAATGAAATCACTTTTAATTTTTTTTAACTCTGTCAAAATGAGTAGATATTCAAAGAAAACACATTTCATCATTTGTCTAAATTGACATAAAAATTATCAAAACTTTCTAGAACAAGTCAAAATACCGTAGAAACAGTCTTTTTGTATTCCCCTTCTGTTCAATATACATTTACCAGGAAATAATCTACCTAGCATTCTGCAAATGTGTACACCATCTTTCAGAGTATCGTAATGATTTTCTCATTCGAAGCAGAACAAGCAAATCATTGGGTCTGACGTAAGTAATATACTGTATCTTGGTTGTCCTCTACCAGAACCACACATATATTTTTCACTAGATTTCGCTACGGTCATACATTACTTGTTTGATGTTACTTTTCTGCCCTGTCAGCGAATCGTGTAGAGTATATAATTGTCTACACATTGGTAGGTGACAAACCTCAATGGCGGATCTAAGTTTCTTAAAAAAAACACACTAATATTCCCCTAATATTCTCCAAGGTGGGCGAGGGTCGGCTCCGTATCGGAAGCCTGTCATTCATTTAAAGAATAATAATAAAATAAAAATAAGGAATAAATAAATAATAGACTCCCTCCAAATAACCCTGGCCTTGTACCTATCAAACCACCTGTTAACCACATTTAGCAGACAAAAGTATATTTTATCTAATGAATTTTTTTTGCTAAGTATGTTTTCTTAATATTCGCATAGTCTCTTGAATGGAAAGGGCATCAGCTTTAGCACATTTGCACCGTTGTATATTTGTACGGCACCAAGGTTATCAACTGTAATTGCAGATGTAAACAGATGCATCTAAATTGGCCCGCTCCGTGTCATGGTCTAAAGTTTCCATTTGATCTGAAGTCATATCATCGAAGCTTCTGAGCCTCCATGGTCGCTACACTGTTTTGGACACAACTGGAAACTTGAACGCGAGTTCGAATTCTAGTACGATCGATGTAATTTCTAGAAATTGCATTTGATTATGATGGCAAAAAATATCCAAACCCATCACCAAAGCATGATAACGGAAAGTAAGGAAAAGAGTTCGAAGTCTGGATGACGCATTTCAGTTCTCACATTTTGTGTTTTACCCCACCCCCCTTGGACCCGTGTTTATCAAGTCTGTTCATACGGTCATACATTACTTGTTTGCTCTTCGTCGCAAGGAGAATACATATAAGTCTGGTTATCTGATTGCATTTCGCGAGATACCCGGAAATCGCATTGGGATGTCAAAATTCAATGTGAACAGTCCCTAGAACAAATGATATACAGCTTCTGCTACTTACATGTTTGGTGAAATGTCAGCCCTACAGCCAGAATCAGTAGTGTTCTCCGCTGAAGACATCCTCTTAATGCCATATCTATAAACAAACATGCATTTCTTTAGTTTACCCATATAAAAATTATGGTATCCAAGAAAAGTGAGCTTTTTGTTAATTGCGTGACATAAGTTTGGAATACTTTATCATTTTAAGCTGAGAATGGATAACTTCATAAAACAACTGACGGTTTTTCATAGAGGAAAATGT